TAACGAAAATACATTTTCAGTGTGTATTCTGTGAAAGTCAGCTTCGTTCGATATATTGGACTTAGGCCTCTGGCGCCACCTCTAAATCTTAATGCTCATTTTTGGATATGTTGTTCATTTGGCCCTAGTAATCATTTTCCACATGAGAAAACGTGTCCCCAAACGATTTTGAAAAATAACCCTTACCCTAAGCTGAGGGCCTACCAACAAACTTCAATTTCCTACGCAAAATTTTCACGAAATGATGTCTTAGAAGATGGTTACCGACGTCATACCGAACGTTCTTATCCAGCGAAGGCGCACAACGACTGCAGCAAACTAGGGAGGCCGCACGAAAATTCCGCGGTCCTCAAAATTTTCATTAACATTGACGAACTCTACGGAAGGAATGAAAGACGACTCTCTCCTCGCAGAAGAAAACTATAATGTAAGTAGAACTAGTCTTCCAGAAATCTCTTCGTCTTCTCATCAGAATGCGACTTAAATTTTGGTAAATAATAATAAAGAAATATTTTGTCAACCGACGCTCTTCGAACAATTGCTTAGCATAAACAGAATGCGACTGAAATGTTGATTTACTGTCAAAATTTGAATCGCATGAAAAACCCTGTCAAAATGAAGGATATACATAAAAAAATTGTGAGCTTCCAAAAGGGTTTGGAGCTCGGGTCTAATTTCGATACATTATTTAAAGTTTTTTTTTTTTGTTTTTGCAAATCCCGCCAGATAACTTTCATGGCAGGATCGCGTGTTCTTTGATATTGCCTCCTACGGACATTTTTCAGACGGATCAAGAGCTGAAGATCGTCGTCTATTATAATTGAATCGAATTTAACTTCGCATTTTGCTACTGAGGCAGCTCTTGCTTCAACTATAGAAGTAGTCAGAGATTCAAGAGCATAATTAATTTCATCTTTGGTTTGCAAAGGAATGTTTGGATCAAAGCTATATTCCATAAATGTTCGTTATTGCTCCCAATCAGCTCTATGGTAATGGAGAGTAGAGCTGTTGGGATTAGAAATTATTTCTTGGGATATTTAAAAAGCTACTGAAAGGTGATCAGAACCGAAGTCAGCATGGGTAATCAATTGGCTACAAAGTTGACATGAATCAGTTAAGACCAAATGGATAGTTGACGGAATTCTTGCTGAAGAAAAGCATGTTGAAAAGTGTAATAAACTGCAGAACAATCATCAAACAGAATATTATCGTTGAAATTGCTCTGAGCATTATTTCATGAGTGGTGTTTTGCATTAAAATCACTAATAATGAAGAATTTAGACCTATGACGGGTAAATTTCTGAACGTCACCCTTGAGAAAATTATTTTGCTGGGCTAGAATGGCAAATAGGCAGTTATAAACGTAAGTTGTCCAAATTTAGTTTCAACAGAAACTCCCAAAGTTTCAAAAACTTTGGTTTCAAATGAAGAAATAATTTTATGTTCGATTCGTCTATGAACAATTATGGCAAAGCCACCACCGGTTCCATCAAGATGATCATTTCTATAAATGAAATAATTTGCGTCCCTCCTAACATTATGGTCAGGTTTAAGGAACGTTTCAGTTATAACGGCAATAAGCACGTTATGAACTCTCAAAAGTTAAATAGCTGGTCTTCATTATCTTTAAGAGATCGAGCATTCCAATTTGAAATGTTTAATGATTTAAAATCCATTACTGAATTCCAAAGTCATGACGATATTTTTCGCAAACTTTACTCCAGTTTCAATAGCATCAAACATGGAGTTAGAATCATCAAAATTTCCGATAGAATTATTTTGGCTAGTATTTTGATTTCTACCAGCTGCAATAGCAGCATAGGTAGCTCCATTAACTCGCTGAACATTGTTAGCAGCGAGGGGAGTAGGTACAGATGAAACATTTGAAGCAGGGGTGATATTTGTACCTCCGGGTAAGAATGTAGAATTTGTTCCACGCTGACTGTTGTTAACAGCAGAGGAATTTGTACCTGGTAGAGAACGTGGAGCGTTTCCTACCTGTCACTTAGAACGAGATTGTAGGATCGCTTTGCGAGTCTTATATTCCCAAAAATTGGATTTGTGGTTTTCACCACAATTTGAACATTTAATTTTTTTTAGGATCTTCCTTCATAGAACAGTCGCCTTTTGTGTGAGATAAATCACCGCAATTCATGAATTTAGCTAGCATGTAACAGTTTTGGGTCTCATCACCCCATCCCTGGCACTTACGGCACTGGGTGAGGTTTTGGAAAATTCCACCAGTCTTCTTGAAGTATTCCCACTTCACTCGGACATGTAGCATAAGGCTAGCTTTTTCCACGGCCTTAGGGATGTTTAGTTCACTAGGCTTGAAGTGAATTAAAGAAAAATCATTAGAAATCCCGTTGCGTGAATCGTCAGGACGACATTTTATTTTCATTTTGATTACTTGGATAGGCTCAACTCCCAGTAATTTTCTCAATTCATCTTTGATCTGATCCAGGGATTCACCACTGGACTGACCTTTCAAGACAACCTTGAACAGACGTTCAGTTTTGGTGTCGTAAGTAAAAAGTGTGTTTTGCTTCTCAGTAAAATACTTGAGAAGACGTTTGAATCCGTCCAAGGATTCAGCCAATACACGGCATTCCCCCCGACGGCCAATTTGAAGTGAAAACTTAAATTAAACGAAGTTCAAAAGTTCAGTGTGAAGAGTAAATTGGAAGTGCCTACCACAATAGGGGGAACTATTTCCTTCTTGGCATTAAGCCGAGAATGTTTAATGGATGTTTGCCTGGATGATGGATCATCCGTGAGCATATCAAATGAATTTCATCAGAAGGGGGATCAAGAGATTGTCTTTTTCTTCCGTGTTAAGGTTCCATGGCGGCAGTAAACCGTTTCTTATAATCGACTTCCAAGCAGATTACTATAAGAATCCGAAGGATCGGAGATGAATTTTCCAAATCAATATCCAAGCAGGATTACCTCGGGTAGGGTCCAAACAAGGATCGAAGAGGATTAAGAGTCAAACAAGATAGACATTTTCCAGGTTTATTGAGCACTGAAAAGTTCTGTTTAAATTTGTTGTAGCTTTAGGTAGCAGTAACACTTCCTTCAGCAAAAAACAAATAGATCCGCACGGCAAGAGAGCACGATGCGGATTGATGGTAAATCGAATAATGTTGTCTTTAAATGCACTATATTCAGCTGAAATATAGTCGCCTGTATCTGAATTCATCTAAGTTATCTTATAATTAGCTAGAATTCCAACGAAGGCCACATGGTCGAGCTAGGCCTTAAACTGGATCACTTATCCTAATCTGGCTAATGTATTCCACGACAAATTTTAAGGTGGAGTTTCTTTTTTACTTTGGAGGTGAATTGCAAAGAAAATTTGTAAAAACCATCAAATTCTACAATTTTGCCGAAATTCAGATGCTTCGAAGATTTATAACTCATGAACCAAGTATCTTAGATTTTTTTAGTGGAATGGTAGGGAAATTATCTCAGCAATCCTTAAAAATATAAGCTGCAAAATTGTTTCTATGATAATTTTCACGGTTGCGGAAAATTGAAAATTAAAACAGGATCAACCATTTTCCGAGTGATGTTTTAAAGCACATCATGTTCGGGAAAATTAAAAAAACTTCAACTAAAATTTTCCGCAAAAATTAACCACCCTGAATTGTTTTAATGTTTTACGTTCATATAATCATTAACTCTACCTGTGGGAAAATTTTCATAAAATTCAGAGATCTTTCGGCCCATTGTGTACAACAAAAATCCAGAACACGCATACACATTTGCCCTCAAACTTGTTCTCTAAGTTCGTTGCATGATTTGAATTCAAGGGTCGTAGCAACATAGCATTAATCTTTCACAATGATCTAACTGCCACCAGAAGCCCCTCAAAATGACTCAAGCATTTTAGTCGTGAAGCTTTTTTCTTCTTTTTTTAAGTGCTTTTTCCTCAAAGGACAACACTTGTCCACCAACTATAACTAATGACATACAAAATTCTGTTCCATGTATGCTCGTTTTTTTTTCAATTCTTCATACCGGAACGATTCCCGGGAGGATTTTAGCAAGCATTCAAAAGTTGTCCCTATTAAAATTGAATTAAATTAAAGTTTAATTTTTTTATTCCGATAGCTGCTTGTGGCTTGCTTCCATGCGAAACCTGGACAGACCAACTTCTATGCACTGAAACTGAGTTGTGTAGGTATTCGGTTGTGTACTGCACAAATTGTTCTCCGAATTGCTTTTGCCTAACTTACTATTTAGCACTGAAATTACATTGTTTTACATCTGATTGCATCTTCTTTCATCACCTCACGATGCAAAATCTCTGAAATCTAGCTCGGCGACTAGTGGCCGCAAGTAAGACCGGCAATTCAGACCGAAATGCACTCCCCCCGAACGCAGCTGCTGCAATTCTAGAGAACAAATCATGTATGAATGCACTTCTGAAACGATTTTCTCTCACGAGTCACACTTATTGCAACCAAAATTCACACACGTGTGCCCGGAGCTACACGACAGCGTGGCCATGCTTAGGCTGGGGTTTCCCTGAAACATTTGATTTGCCGCAATTCCAAGCACACCTCTGGATCTCACATGGCAGAGGCAAGGGTGGCCACGGCTAGAGCAAGCAATAACTTCATTATGCTTATGCAGATAAATTGAGCTGAATGAGCGCTTGTTAGAGATTAATTAAACACTAAGCACTTGTCTTCGGAGATGATGGAATTCTTCGTGTTGTTCTTCGCCGCCTTTTCTCGGTCCGTTTCATTCATTTTCTTAGCGCTCTTGACGGCATCCCTTCTTCATTCCTTTCCCATCAGTGGCAAATTTATGCGACTATTTGTAGACAACGTGGTCTGTGGCTCGGCTCACGGTGCATTGTTCATCTTACACCGTCGACCTCTACGTAGGGCACACGTTTGCCTGAATCCTGAACCAGCGCAATATAAGTAGTAGTCGCTTCTTTCGGCACAATGATGATTCTGCAAAACTGCTGTAGCTTATTGGCTTACGTAGATAGCGTCAGTGGCGTCGGCGGATAGTGACCGCAAGTCACTATTTGCGTGCGAAGGTTGAGGGGGTTGCGACCAACAAATTGATGGGAACCGACTGCTCTTAGACGTGTCTGTGGAATTATGACGTAGATTTCGAGAGGGCGAGCGTTTCATCATTGCCCGGACCGTAATTCATACGCCGCCATCACCGCTCTGTCGCCTTTGACTGTATGGATGCTTTTGGTGTGATGATATCTGCAAAATTAAGAATAAGAAAGACACATAATTAATTGCGAGCTGAGCTTTTAGGAATGAATCGTAAAAAAGCGGCCAGTACCGACTACTGCCGAGAAATGATTGCGAAGCAAATGTCTCTAGTTGTGACTGTTTTAATTAGGTACGCATGTTTGCTTTTAAGTTGTTGGATGTTATGTGCAGTAAAAATCCTATTTAGCGGGAATTGGAGTTTATTTAATGGCAGACACTGATAAGAATGGTCATCGCCAGTTTCTATTCAAGAAGATCATTATCAAAATCTATTTTTAATTCAGTAAAAAATGACGTGCGATTGACTAAATCGTTTTATTATAATAAACGAGCAATACATGTTGAATATTCGAAAATCTCAATGAAAAAACGAGCATAGTTTTTAGATCACCTCTGACATGGAAAAGTTAACAATCCAAGAGCTTCATTTGATTGCAAGCAGCGTTGCCAATATTCCAAATTTATCTGCATTTTATTGCCTGATACACAGACTGAAAACGTTAATTTCTAGATTTTTTAAATGTGCTTCAGATGGTCCCAGATTTTTCGAACATCTTGCAATCAAATTATCACTGCAATTGATTCACCCTCTAATCTAAGAAAACATGCATAAACTGAAACTTTAATGATTTAAGATTTGATGGCTGCCCTGCAGTGCCACGTCTTAATTCCATAGATGAAATCTCGATTAATTTTTGAATAGGTCCTATGTCCTATCGCTCGAAAAATCGAATGACTCAATTTGCTTTCGACCAGTGCGGTATGTTCGCAATAACGGAACGTTCCATCTTGAATTCAATCAACTTTGTATTGTATGCATCAATATTGCAATCAACAACATCAATCAGAAAAAAGTTTCGACAGCGATTCACCTTAAAATGACTGCTTGGTGTATAAAAGAGCCAAACCTATGTTTTTAATCAAGTAATTATTAGAAAACTAACTTTAATATTATATACCTAAAATCTACTCGTGTGGTATGCATTATTAGTTACTGCTTTAAACGACATGAAATTAGCTCGAGATCATATCCCCATAATTTTTATTTTTTCTGTAAATTCATCTACCGTGAAAATATGTTAATCTCGAAGATGGCAACTAATTTTCCAAATCCCAGAACGGATAAAAATAATTTTAGCAAAACTGATAGGTAAAGTGCAGCTAGCATGTGTAAATATTACGTCATAGCCTCAAAGATCTAAGAATAATACCAACTTAGTCTTGTAAAACTAAAACAAAAGATTTAAGAGTTGTCTTGTAAGCTTAGATTTGAACAATGCCTTCGACAGAGTAGATCATGCATATCTTTGGAAAAAAAATGAACAAATTAGCATTTCCTTCTCAGCTAATAGTCTGCTTGATGGTATTGAATTAAAATTCTTAGTCGCGAATAATTATTAATTACATTTTATTTTTACCTGGGTGCTCCAGCTACTACTGTTTCTTACCACCCTAAATTGTTATAATACATATCTAAGTGTTTTTACATAGTTCCTGTCGTAATTCATTATTTTAATCAGGTTTTCTAAACCTGCATGTCAGTATAACAATTGATATCTTAAAATTTAAAACTAAATCTAAATCTTATCTAAGCATAAAGAGAATTAATCGTTACAATCAAGCTTGTAAATGCTCATTACAGCTAAAATGCTATTTTTCGGATTTATGAAGCTATGAAATATTTCAATGGTAATTCTTATTGACAAGATGCAAGAAGAGAAGGTAAAGTATTTGTTTGATACATAAAACATGTTAATTAAGCTATCAGAGGGTTACAATAGCGATAAGCTGTAACGATGAGCAACGTGATGAGCGAGCAATCAGAGAACATAAAATCGCTAGTTGTGACCTTCTGAAAGCAAAATTGATAAAATGTGTATGTCATACACAAACTTTACCACCCATTCTTACTTCTTACAAATAAAAATTATCATTATAGTATCTCATAGTTTCATAATTCCAAAAATTAGCATTTTAGCTGTAATGAGCAATTGCAAGCCTGGTTACAATTGAGGAGTACAACATTTTTTCCCTAAAACTATAAATTATTTTGTAGGACATTTGCTCTAACGTCTCAACATGCGAAATTCTATGTACCTCGGTAGTACTGTACCAGGGAGGCAACTTCAAAATCATCTTCAGTACTTTTTCTGCATCCTTTGAAGTGTTTTTTTCCTGGTAGTGCAACAACTAGACTATATTGGCCCTGCGTAAAGCATGGCCGGTCTTAAAAAAATTTTAAACATTAGAAGTTTATTCGTCAGGAAAAGTTTGGACTTCCTTTTTATAAGAGGATTCAAACATTTTATATATTTGTTATATTTGACTTGAATGCCCTTAACGTGATCTCTAAAAGTTAATTTTTGGTCAAGTACTAATGCAAGACATTTCACTTGACTTGACCAAGAAATTGGAACTCCGTTCATAGTGACTATGTGACTACTTCAAAATGGAAGCTCGAGGCTTATGTGGAAATATTTTAAGATAAGTTTTGGAAGCAATTGGACAAATCTTCCATTTTTGTTAATTAAGAAGAGAAAATATCTAAACGAACAAAGTCATCGGCAAACAAAGATTTGTGGTAACCCTGAGGCAAATCAGGGAGGTCCAAAGTAAATTTTTTATTCAATATAGGCCCAAGAATGATACCCTGAGGAACTCCTGATCTAACAGGTAGTCGATTGGATTTTGAATTTTGTTAATTTACCTGCGAAGTTCTGTCAGTTAAATAATTTTGAACAAATTTCATAATATAGAGTGTAAAATTAAATTTTTGTTTTCGATTTAGCAGTCAAACCTTCATGCCAAACAGTGCCGAATGCTTTTTCTATGTCTAGAAGAGCAACTCCAGTTGAGCAGCCTTCAGATTTTTTTGAACGAAATAAATTGGTAACTCTGAAGAGTTGATGAGTAGTTGAATGCCCATGGTGAAATCCAAACTGCTCATCTGAAAAAATTGAGTTCGTATTGATGTGAAGCATCATTCTATTTAAAATTATCTTTTCAAAAAGTTAACTTATCGAAGAAAGCAAACTAATTGGACGGTAGCTAGAAGCTTCAGCTGGATTTTTATCCAGCTTCAAAATTGGAACAACTTTTGAATTTTTTTCATTTATCAGGAAGGAAAGTATGCCAAAAGGAAACATCTGTTAAAAAATTCTACCAAGAAAGACAAGGTTATTGGGAGTATTTTGATGAGGATAAAGAAAACTCCATCGTCACCTGAAGCTTTCATATTATGAAACTTTTTAGTTATAGATCTTTCTTCGTCCAAACCAGTCCCCAAAATCATCAAAAATATTTTACCGAGAGAAAATATTCAGATAATCCCGAGCAACCTCATTCTCAATAGGACTAGAAAAACCCAAACTGAAATTATGGGAACTCTCGAATTGCTAAGTAAATATCTGAGCTTTTTACGAATATGTGATCAAAATTTCACCATCTTCTTTAAGAGCTGAAATAGGCTTTTAAGGTTTTTTTTCAAAAAATGTGTGAGCTTCCAAAAGGGTTTGGAACTTGGGTCTAATTTCGGAACATTATTTCCAAAAGCTTTGTTTCTCAGGACAGAGAATCACTTTTTAATTTGTCTTTGCAGATCCCGCCAGATAACTTTCATGGCAGGATCGCGTGTTCTTTGATATTATCTCATACGGACATTTTTAAGACGGATCAAGAGCTGAAGATCGTCGTCTATTATAATTGAATAGAATTCAACCTCGCATTTTGGTACTGAGGCAGATCTTGCTTCAACTATAGAACAGGTATTCAAGATCATAATTTATTTTGATCTGATTTTTTGGTTTGCAAAGGAATATTTGGAAAAAAAAGCTATATTCCATAAATGTTCGATATTGCTCCCAAACAGCTTATATGCTAATTGATAGTAGAGCTGTTGGGTTTAGAATTTATTTCATGGGATATTTCAAAAGTTACAGGAAGGTGATCAGAACCGAAGTCAATAATATGTAACCAATTGGCTACAAAGTTGACATTAATCAGTAAAGACCAAACCAATAGTTGAGGGATTTCTTGCTAAAGAAAAGCATGTTGGGCTGTTTGGATATTGAATAGTGTAATAGCCTGCAGAACAATCATCAAACAAAATATTGCCTTTGGAATTGCTTTGAACATTATAACATGAGCTGTGTTTTGTATTAAAATCACCAATAATGAAGAATTTGGACCTATGACGGGTAAGTTTCTGAAGGTCCACCTTGAAAAATTTCTTTTGCTGGCCTACGTATTGGCATGGCAAATAGGCAGCTATAAACAGAAGTACTCCCAAAGTTTCAAACGAAAAAAGAATTTGATGTTTGATACGCCTATGAACAATGATGGCAACGCCACCGTAGGCTCCATCAAGACGGTCATTTCGATAAATGAAATAATGTGCGTCCCTTTTAACCTTATTGTCAGGTAGAAAATGTGCTCTAATGTAGGCCTATGGATCTAAGATTGGGCCCATCGCTAAAAATCTGCTATTTATCAATTGTATCTAGATAAACGCGTCATTGGGACGTTATTTTTTTTAAACACATTTATTACATTTGTTTGAAACACAGTTTACACGTTTACATTTTCACAATTTAAAACAAAGTCTAGGGCTTGAACGGAAAAAAAAAAACATTTTCGGCATTTAACACAAAGTTTACGTAACATATAAACAATTTGAGAGCCTTCATCCTACAACTTCTTTGAACATTAATTAATTCAGGAATCAAGAAGTCCCTTAACCCTACTGTTTTATCTAAGATTGTCTCCAATTTCAGACGAAGAAAGATCCATAAATATCGAACACGAACACAACTGGAAAATTTATGTTCTAAATCCTCAGGATCGTTTGGACAGAACTGGCACATAGGACTGTCTTGTCGGTTAGTGCGGTGCAGTAAGTCTGCATGAGGTATTTTCCTGTTGACCAACAGGAAGAATGTTGTTCTTTCAACCGATGTAAGATGTTTGCTGTTGATATTATTCCATACTTT